CTACTAAACAAGAAGGCAACTATAGTCAAAGGGAGTGTTGATGACATGTCAGTGGAATTTACACAACGTCAAAAAATATTTTACGAAAAGCTAATTCATTTCATTTTTTTTCCTTTTCTCTGAGAGGAAATGCGTGTGTAATAAGAACATCAATGCAAGAATCGTTACAATGATAAAATTCTCCTCAACGTCATCACTTAACTTAAATTCATACAAAGCATTATTCATAATAAGTCATCTGCCTATTTTAATGACACTCGAGTTAAGGAGGCTCCACGGAGTTTTAACACCACGCGCATACAAGTATATGATCATGTTCTTGGAACTAAATAAACTCGTCTTTCGCTGCTATTCGCATTTTAAAAATTTAAGGCAACATTAAAATAATAAGGTACATGGATTTAGGCCAACGATTCAAATGTCTGTCATTAGATATGATGTTGCCATAGTGCTGACTTAAATCAACATCCAAAATATAAACCTTATTACATGTAAATTGTTACTCGTGCTAATAAACCTCTAAAGGGAAAACTTTAGGATAAACTAACGGGGTTTTCTTTATTAACTGGCGCTCTGTAGGGAGGGTTATTCATTAATACTCCGAGGAGCTTCCCTAGCTACGCTACCCATTCCCAAGCTACAAAGTGTACAACAGGCAAGTAATTCAACCATTGAGTAGAACGATCTTTCTTGTCGTGCTGTGAATTTCCATATTCACCAACCAGTGTAAACTGGGTGTTGTCTCTCTAGCAATCGCTGTCTTGTTTCGTTATTTCTGCAAAAATAAAAAAGAAAGTTACTTACTAAAGTGTAAAGACAGCTCCAAAGACTGTGCTTGGAAAAACACGTTCGAAGCAATAGCAGTCACGCGATGCTTTGCGTGACAATACTACACAGACCTGAATATCTCTGCTGCAAACCGGGCAGGTTTTCTTACCTTCTGTATTTTCGGAGTATCACAAAACCAATAGCTGCCACAACCACTAAAATAAACAAAAAAGGCAAGTATAGGTTTTCATCCTGTCTATTCTGTTAAGCCATTGACGCATGAGTGTCAACACAACTTATCCTATTGGGATGGGTCACACCCCTCGCTGGGAGGGGATTGTTCTCAAAATCTTAAATAATCGTTTATTAAAGCTTGAGGTATGACTGCTCCTCCAATCCTCTCTTAAGATCACAAATAAAATTCACTCCCAGTTCTTACAAAAAAAAACCAAAGAGTAGAAGTCATACTAAGTCTTTCTCGAGTCATCATGAAATACCCTTCTTATATTTAGTTGCCATTCAAGATTACAGAAACCTTATAGAGACAATGGAAATTAGGTCCTAGCAAGAAATATGACACCAGTATACAGTCATGCAAATTCCTTGAGTTCCAGGAATGACCTGTACTTTTGTAAAAATTTTTGTACCTGCTAGTGAAACAGCGATAAGAGCATAAACAATTGAGCTCATTTCACATTCCTGTAAATGAAATACGCACAAGAACATAAAAATAAAAGAATGGATTGTTTTTTAACCTTTTAGGCAGTGCATTTAATGGCTAATTAAAACATAATTGAATATGTAGTAATGAACTATCACAGGTAAATCTTCTGGTAGATTAAATTGTGTCATTGCTTATCTGTAAGTGCAGCATATACGCCATTGTTAATGGTAATTTAAACAGTCTAACATAAAAATTGAAGTCAGTCTTACTTACAAGAAGCTGAAAGCAGGGTAATTGTGCTGTTTACCTGGAAAAACCACTTCACTGTCACACTATCTTCCCCCAGACAGAAGTATCAATGGGTGCCAAAAAATGCCAGGAATGCCTAATGTTGCCTAAGGTGAAAGGGGGGGAGGGGGAGGGTGGGGGTGGGAGGTTACCTGTAGGCATTCCATCCAGGGGGAAGAAACAATACCCTGAGTCATTTTATAACATGGACACTGATGTAAACTCCTACAGTGTGGGCTAGTAAGCTGGAGGGATGATTCAACCATGTTGCCATTAAACAATTTCTGTACCTCAGTTTCATTATTTAAAGTCATCAACCCTTTACAGTCTTCTTTTGGTGCACTACTGCCTGGAGGACAAATCTGCTCCTTATCACATGGCACTGGTTCTGAGTTTGGCCACTAAAGCACATGCAATAAAAGCATACAGTAAATGGCAGTGAAGAAAATTTAATTTGTTCATTAAATTCAATCATCGTTTACAGTATGTTCAATTCACAGGTAGCATCAACACCTCACCTCTTGCTTAGCTAATCTTTTAATACCTCGATACCCAATCAATACAACCACATACACTACTACCTTTTTTTTTTTAAATCAAAACTAGTATCAGATTTAACTCTTTTTTTAATCTTGATAATTATTTTTTTAATCCTCATTATCATTTTTACAGCACACAAAAATGCAAAAAAATTTTGATCTTAATTTATCCATGTTATTGTGTAATATTCCGGAAATATCAACTTCAATGAACTAAAAAGTGATTTAATGCTAATGGACAAAAGGATAGATTTCATACTGAGGAAATTTTGGTTTGTGTGACTTTTAAAACCAGTATTCTTGGACTGCCAGTGGTATAATGCACAGTAATGAAATTGTTTGTTTAATTAAGAGTGATTGAAGATGGAAGAGCAAATTACAGAAGAAGATATAACAAAAACTGCACCACAGACAACTTAAAAGCTACATTTCATCACAGCAAATATTTTTCATAAAGCATTTCTTGAAAGCTCAGCTTTCATGATAAAAAGAATAATTAAGGGTTGACAGTTTTAAACCACAATTTGGTGTAAAAAATGCTTGTCGGAGTCTTCAAGCTTTAAGGAAATGGCTCAATTCTAAGAACAGAAAATTCATGTCCAGAGTGATACTGTAAAAATTTTGAGCAACTGGAGGCTATTGTTGTGTTCTAGTTAACCACCGAGACAAAAACATGATTGACTTACAGGGCAGTAATGTCCTTCTGGGCACTCTAAACAAGATGTCTGTCCAGTTTTTAATTGATACCATCCATCTTGACAAGAATGGCACACCTCAGAGCCTGAAGAGGGTTTGAATGAACCTGAAAGAAAAATTATTTAGCTTTTCATAACATTATGGTAAACAATTACTGCTGGATGACTCATAATGTTATGGTTGTATCTTCAGATTTAGGATCATCCATCAATTAAATGTCTTAGCACAGTGATGTAATAAATTTCAATGTTCTTCCATTAAGGGATATGAATACACACACTTTACACAAACACTTTATTTTTCTTTTTCTTACAAAATAATTTAGATTATGTTGACCCGCAGATGGCAAATTTGCTATTCGAGGTGGATCAATCATCAACAAACATTATTTACAATATATAAAGAAAATTAAAAACTAAATAGTTAGATATTGTTAAATTTTAAAGAGAAGCATAACTGGTAAATACATCAATAGTTGTTCAATAAAGTATAGAAGCAAATAAATTAGTACTGAAAGCAATCGGATCAATTTGTTTTAATTATGCAGTCCTTAAGTTTAGAGGAGATCTTTTCAAAATACCATCTTCACAGAACTGAAACTGATCACATTGTGAATTAAATTTTAAAAGCAGACTTTTCTTGTAATGGGTGTAAGGTTTGGAAAATGCATTTAACTGGCCATGGTTATTTTCTTGTTCTAATTGTAATGTTAAGATCTTTTATCAAGTACACAAATGAAAAGTGTGTCTGCATGACAGTTTTGAAAATGATATCATTTACCAGAGATAAAAACAATTGTAAAATTTGACATGTTAGAAGGACACACAATTTCAGGCAAATAGTTCAGATGCTATGTGTACTTTCTGATCAGTCAGTAAAAACATTGAGTAACGACACATTTGGAAACAACAACAGCCTTACTGTGTCCTACAATGAATATCAAGTTTGTAGGTATGTATTTTATTGTATCTGACTAATCAAAACTGCAAGCAGCTCTGAAGACAGGGAAACTTTTACATATATTCATGTCATTTTCAATGAAAACAAGCAAACAACTACAGTACAACACCTCTCAACAACAATTAAAAACAAAACCAAAATAAAATTAACATTTTTAAACTGCGTACCTTTTTGACAATATGTACAATTTTGTGCACCCATACGATCTGCCTCTTGGCCAGGTGGGCAACCAAAACACTTGGTACAGCCCGTGGTGCTTGTTTGTTTGTTTGTTTTTTTTTAAGAAAAAAGAACAGTGAAACATTTGAGTTAGGAGAGTGAACACAGATTTGATTGCTGATCCATTGAACTTTGTATAAGAGTATGGTCAGTAACAGTTATAATTATAAATTAACTCATTAATTACTAGTAACCATACATGTAGTGCTGCAACTGTAACTTACAGTAACTATTACTGCCCTAAACTACTTCAAAACAGTAACTACTACCAAGCAATAATAATCACAATAATCATTATCACCTTCATCATCATATTCTTTAAACATTGCGATTAATAAAACTTTGTATCTGAGGGCTTTTCACATTCACTGATTGGCTGGTTTGGAAGTGATTAGCAAGTACTCACCTTCGTGTAGCCGAAGAGACAAAATAATGTGTCCAAAATGTAATTTCCAACCATTTTTTGGTATATTGATAGAAATATACCAAACTAATTTTTTGGTTTCTGTGTGGTACATACTAAAACAATATGGATTCACCTCCTCTACAGCGAATAATTGTTGAACATAGCATGACAATAAAATAATTGCACCTACTTGCAGTATTTCCCATTGCCACATTGCATACACATGTTGCTCCCATCTGAGCTGCAATGTGGGGAAATGAGGAAAAATCTTTAGTCACTGAAGAAGTCAAAAAGTGTTTAAAAAGGTACTGCTACTCTGCTATCCACCAGAAAGATATTAATTTTTTATTATCAGTTGACGCATGTGACCTTATCTAACCATCGAACAACTGGGGCCTGTGGTTTACATCAACTTTAGGTCATAACTGGTGTACTGAGTGTGCAAGGGTGAACCATGCATGTACAAATTTAGTGTGAAAAATGATCAACTTGATAAACAGTATGCTTTTCTTCAAGTTGGCAGCCATTAGCCAACAGACTTTATCCATTACATTCTTCGGTATTCTGACAAAAAAATGGTCTAAGATTTCTCTTCCAGAAAGTACATTCAATGGGCAGCACCTTGATTCTATGATTTTGTGCCTTCCAGTCAAAAACTAGTGGGAAAAAGGAAAAGGATAACGGCATGAAGTTTTGGCTGTCTAATACAGGCATAAAAAACCCTTGAGATTGTGTTTTCACCTACTGTTAAGTGGTATAAAAGGTATCTCAGTCTGTAATCATTGAAACTCAGGTGCAATAAATGGCTCACCTAGAGAAGCTTCCTTTCTGACATAACTTGCAAGTTGTTTCTCCAGTTGCGTTCTGGTAGTGGCCTTTCTCACACTTGAGGCAAGATGTTTGTCCTCTCTTGTTCTGAAAGTATCCCAAAGGGCAAGGAATACATGTTGCTTTTCCAGCTTTGTCTTGATATTTGCCTTTCTCGCATTCATAGCAAACTGTTTGTCCTGTTAAATTTTGGTGGTGGCCTGCAGGACACAGGACACAATTTGACGAAGGATCTTGGCACTGACCACTTATGTTACAACTGTGACAGTCTGGGTCACCTGAAAGTTTTAAGTCCATGATGTGATTAGTTAAAAAAAAAATTCAAACTCTTCAAGTATAAGCAACACTTGTGAGTGGAACAGGTATACCATAGAGTATCCCACAGGTCACTAGTATTTTCTTGTTATACCCAAAAGCCATAGGACAAGTGTGTTTATCCCAAAATACAGAAGACAATTGGTATATTCAGAGCTCTCAAGTCTAACACATTCAGTGTGGATGTTCCACAGCATATTAACAAGAGAATGCATGATTACTTCAAACCATCCCCTAAAAAATTGTATATTAGTGGCCAACACAATCAATGTACACTTAAAGTACATGTATTTGCAGACTTTGAACTGGCTATCCACATTCACAGATGTTGATGACTATTTCAAAACTCCTACAAACAAAAGGTGCAGAATACAAAGAAAGCAAATAAATTCATTATCATAATTTATTATAATTATCAGCAAAAGGCTTAATACAAACTGGAAATAGCAATGTACTGCATAATAGGAAAGTTGGGTTTAATACCACTGAATATACATTGTTCTTTCTGATTGATTGTTCATTTTCATTTTCTAAAAAACCTATTTTCAGTATCTATTGTTCATATAGAAATAATTAATCATCAAAATTCCCCAAAATGTGATCTTCAGTTGATTCAAAAACCTGATTAAAGAACACAGTCATGTAAAATACTCACTAGTATTTCCAATTGTTCCTACTGGACAGGCCTGACAAGAACCTTCTGTACCACTGCCAACAGTGGCATGAATTCCCAGAAATCCAAAATTCCATAACAGGTCAGCTTTAATTGAAAATAAAAAGAGATTTATTTAAGACTTTATTTACACTGGGATCACTCAATTCAAATTCCAGTGACAGTTAGGTTCAGAATTTGAAAAGTTTTTTTTTTGGAGCAGGACCATTAACATTTTCCTTGTCTTCTACAAACAGTTTTACACCCTCCTTCACCCCCTAAACAATAAACATGTTCCTCAAGCTTTGAAGAATTAAAAAGCAACATGAAATCATTCAAGCACACTTTCACAAAAACCACAGACATATATATACAGCTATATCCTTTCTTTCACTACTTGCAGTTATTCACAACTATTTTTAGGATGGTTTATTACACTCCTCTTCACTGACCCTTCTACAGATACAAAGGAAAGTACAAATGCACAATGTATGCATTTGGAAGCTGTCAAAATCAGCTCTTCCCTATCATTGTGGAACTGACTACAAATATCCACCATAAAACATGATTTTCCTGTCCCCATTTTGTCATATGCAGAACAGCATGTTTATTGATGGTACACGCTATAAAATGAGCACTTGTGTATGCCTTCCTTTTTAGAATGTGACAACTGTTTACAAACAGGCACCTTTGTTGATGCTAATATACCATATACTGAGACTAAATTTATTTTTAACACATTCCCAAGCCATTTAGATGGATGATTTTTTTTTTATGAAGTGAGAAACAGCTACTTCAATAAAAGGATACTGTTGTAAATTGATACATCACTTATATATTCTGATTATGAAGATGCATTAGTACATGTATGCAACAGCATATTGGGGAAGGTTGGTTTGAATCGTAATTGAAATCAACAATTCTCTTTGTAATTGGTAGCCATTTAGTATTTTTAAATTACCGGTAGAGCTATTAGCCTATTCTTTAAAACAATTAACCACCAGCAATAGAACAACAAAAGGCCTAGCTCATACATACTAATGAGGCAAATGAGTCAGGCTTATGCATGCACATGCAAAATTTAGATGCACATACTTTCATTTATCATACAAATTAATGTGTTTTATATGTGTTTTTTGGTTATTTTATGTCTGAGCAATACTATACCTTGACAGTGAACTAGGTTTGAACAGTTGTTTGACTTTTATATTGCTTGCTGGTGGGAGTAGGGTTCATTAACAATGTTGTCTTTTAGGAATGAAACAAGAGTTTAGATATGGATTCCTTGCATGTCCAAAAAAGTTAATTTAAGACTTATCATCAAATCATAAGTCAACGCCAAAACCACCAACAAAGCCAAAAACTAGTCCAAGCTTTTCGGTGGTTAGAGATGTGTAAATACAATGATTTTAAGCATGGATCTTTTACATCAATCAACCTTACATATGCCCAAAGACTGGAGGGAAGTAAAGTTGGGAAGAGGACAAAATTTGCTGAAGTTCTCAAGGCTCTCAACCCTGAGCTGCATGCCTTATTACTTTATGTTGTGTCTGGAAGAGAGTCTATAGGAAGGATTAGAATCAGCCACCTTCAATAACCTACTCAATCATTAGAGAAAAGAGAAAACTGAAGGTAAGTGAATTCTATTTATATACTAAATATCAATGGGGCTGATTTTGAGGGTCAAATGCTAGAATTCATAGTTATCATGCTGAGGTTTATTTATTTATTTATCTATTTTATTTCATTTAAATTTTAATCAATCATGGGCAATTCATCAGCTGTTTTCATAGGATTAATTAAAAACCATTAACTATTGATTGATATTAATGACATTATTAATTATACTATATTACTGCTTTCCATAAATGCTGTGCCTTAAAGAGCTTTGTTGATTTCTCATTTGTAGGACCTGAGGGATTCCACACACCTAGCCTCGCAAGGAAGGCTATTCCACAATGTGACGGCACTATAACTGAAGCTATTTATGGATCAACTGTTCCAGATTACTTTACACGTTAGAGATCAACAACTATATTAAATGACTGATTTCACAAAGCCTCAAACCCTTAGGGTTTTCTGTCTGTAAGGAAACTAGTAGTTAAGTTAGGATGAAGTTAGGAACACAGAAACTCCATATTAATTATTATTAATATTAAAAATTACGAGCAAAACATTGGAGAGCTTTAATGATGTTTCAAAGCAAGTTTAAGTAATTTCAATTACGTTCACATATATTTTTTAACCTCTTAATCAAGAGGGTAACCTAACCAGATTCGTGATAGAGTAAAACAGTTAACCTTTATTAGTTGCCGTGAGTTTATACATTGTGAAATCATTTGTGCAGGAAGTTACTCGAACTGGTTACAGTGAGCTTTCATTTAGCTGAGGCGTACGTGGGAACAATTTCTAGGTAAGATAAGAAAGCTCTAGACTTCGAGCATGACTGAAATAAGCAGTAAAGCTACAGCATAAAAGCACCAACTGATAGCCTCTGAATGCCTCGCTCCAATTATATCACGTGAAAGAAATGAAAACATTTACTTACCAGCGAAATAAGTCAACAATACAGAGAAATTAATCACAGTGTAAAACCTTGCCATTTCCAAATACTCTAGCGGTCATCTCAGAGTCATATTTAGATTAGAATGTACTAGGTTTTTCGTCGATTTCGTAATGAAGTGATTAATATTCAACCCGCCAACTCGTGACAATGTCTTCTACATGTAAACAGAACTTTTGCCCATTAGAATGACGCATTTCTCGATTAAAGACACCCTGCGCATATTACGTGACGAGAGTCCGCTATCTGATTGTTACCAGGTTCTCTCTGATCTTCATATTGTTCAAAATGGCGGTCAGACTTGTCCAATTTTCTTACATCACTTTTCGCCCGCTTGCGGAAAGAGTAGTCTCACTGATATAACTCCATGTAAAATCTGGAGGTTTTAAAGAGCGAGAATTGTAAAAAAACAGGAACTTTATCACATTCTCTCTTCAAGCTGTTTAACTTGAACCTAAATTACGTTCAATATAATGCAGTGGGTACGATCGTTACTAAATGTCTTCGGACGAACAAGACGACTTGTAGGAACCGATCTCCATGGAAATGAATATTATGAAACCATTCGGCAGGGAAAAAAGCCTAAGAGGGAGATGATCACCAAAATGAATCCAATGGAATACACCCCTGGTTTAATTCCCATTGAGTGGGAGGCGTGGATCCGAGGGAAACGAGAACGTCCCCCGACACATGAAGAACTCATAGCCGAACAGAGGAGAGTTAAAACGCTCCAAGAAAGAGCAAAGCAAGTGGAAGAGAAGGATAAAGAACTGCAAGCTTTGGAGCAGGAAACATCACAGGCAGCAGCTCAAATTGGCCATGCCTCAGCTCCCTTGTACGAGAGTCTGGATAATAGAACACAACCTATAAGCACTGGGACGACTTTTCAACCCGGGGAGTGGATTCCTGAGTCTGATCCAAGTGAATCTTCTAGTGGAAAGGAGGGTGGAGAAACGTTTGAGCCGCAGTCTTGGGTACCTCCTGGTGATAAATCTCCTGTGAAGTGAGTGGTGATACAGAAACAGCAATAAGTCATTCGTTAGCTTCCCCTAGTGAGTGGTAACCTCTGAGGATCCTCTGACATTTTTCTCTAATGTTAAACCAACCTTCATAAATCCACTTGGGTATGGAGTTGAGGAACTCCTATCATGGCTAAAAATCAGGACTCTAGTATTTGTTTTACCTAGGACTTTCTGTCATCAAGGTCTCTTTCCTTTGCAATGTAACTTGTGCTATTGAAATCATACTTTTACTTTATACTTTCTATGTCTGTTCTTGTGCAGCTTAACATCTTGTAAACAAGAAACAAACAAACTATCCAATTATTTGCGGTACAAGAATTCTTGTGGAAATTTCTTCTTAGAAGATCCCTTGTTAATCCTTTAACTCTCAGAAGTTATTAACAAGTAACTTCTCCCCACAGTATCCATGCTCTATCCAGCAAACAGGTAATAAGAATACTCAAGTGTATCAGGTGGAAATTGTATTCCTGATCTAACACCAAATTCTCATAACTTATTTACATGGAAATGTGTAGCAGCTATAGGGGAGAATTGACAATCAGATCTTGGGAGTTAAAGGGTTAAAGACAATCAGTTTCTAACTTTCTACTACAAGGTGTGGTCTCTCTCTCTCTCACATTCCATATCCTGGAGTAAGAAAGGGACTGTTTTTCTTGCCTAAAATGGGCAGTTTTGAATGAGACCCTGAAGACAAGGTTGGATTTGATTTCTTCAAGACATTGGTGACATTTGTCTTATTAAAATAAAATAATATAACTATTAATTTCTTTAATTGCACAATAATTTTTTGTTTATTTTATTGTTGGAAGTAAATTATGTAAACAGCCTTTTAAAACAGATATGGGATGGTTCAAAATCCTCTCTGTTAAGAGGCTTTCTAATTGGCTATTCACAGAGTACAGCTTAAAGGTTGCACTTGATCAGTAGTTGGTAACCAGAGTCAAATCTAGCCAGTAGTAGGATAAAGGGTGTGAATTCTTGACCAACAGACAACAATCCCTCTGCCTGAGAGACACCTGTAGTCAACATGTATCTGATGGATCTGAAAAAATGCCTTCGAGTCCCTTTGGATGTCACAGAAATACTTCCCCAGTCCTCTTTTGTCTTATGAATCCATTGAGGAATTATCAGTGTCATGCCAAATTAAGAAAAGTAGAGAATGCTGTTTTTTAGTGAATGAAATAAGACTGAGACTCTAATTCTGATCCTTTCACCTGCAAGGGCATATTTTTTTGAGGTTTGGTGTTTAAAAAGTACCTTTTTGATAAATCATTCGTAGTATGCAGAGCAACTGAGTGTGAAATCCGAAGGTCTGAGGCTTGATTCCTTGTGAGTATTCAGAATTTTTTCTTTGTCCCATGCCTGTGAAAAGACAAAAAAAACTTCTTTCTCTTTTTTTTTACTGAGCTAAAAAATTACCATCTCTCTTATTATTAATTATTTACAAAACATGATGCTATCAACATTGCTGATTCCAGCAGTATGCAGGATGCATGTCCTATATGAACTTCGCAATGGGCCTTGGTCATCATAGAGTCTTTGTGGCTCAGCCGCAGAGCATTGCAGCACAGAATCTGAAGTTCCTCATGGGACTCAGTTTTCTGTTTGTCCAGTCCCATGCTCATGACAAGACCAAAAAAACATTTGTGAAAGCAATCCTCACAATCATGAATGCTACCTAGTTACTGGTAAAAATAAGACCTGAAAAAAATTCAGGCTGGTACACGATTTGAAGCCATGACCTCCACAGTAAAGGTGCAGCACTCCAACAACTGAGCCAACAAGCCAACTGGGAGCTGGTTGTTATGATGGTTCTTTCATGTTTGTTTCTTCAACCGGAGTTCACGTAAAGTTATTTTTTTTGAGGGGGCATAGCCTCAGTAAAGAGGAAAATTTATATGTAGTATAAATTACTGAGTATTTATGCTTCATTTTATTGTGGGTTTTACACCTGTATGCTGTGCTGAAATCATCAGTAAATAGTATTACTAGTTATTAACAACTTCCTAGATGAATATTAAGTTCTGTCTTCTACAGTGTGCCAGCAGTATGGATCTTGCTTTCCCCTTGCCATTAGATCATCTATTCAATTTCAGTTAGCCTTTCAAATTTATAATAAACAACAAGTATATTAGCCATGAAAAGTGGTTCCTGCTCACCAAACAATGGTAAAACAGCTTGGACTGTTTGGTATCATGTATAATGCTTGATGATGATTAATTTATTGATGATAGTAATATCATTTGTCTTTTACGTACATGTTATTTTGGTTGATACTGCAAGCACATTAATAACTCTGTTGCCGTTAGTAAGTCACCACAGGAATTGTACCTCATGACCAAGAAAAGAACTCTTGTCAATATATTTTTCCAACAATAAAGTTCACGGGGAGGCGAATAAGAATCGTGAATTAAGGACAAGCGTTTGGAAGATAAATAATTGAATTAATTACTTTACCTCGTTCACGAGTAGTCTCTCTGTCCGAGTTTCACAAAAGACAAGTCCAGTCCCGTATTTCCAAAAGTTGACGTTAGCAACACTTAGCAACGAAATTTCCGTTCTTCAAAATGGCGGTCCACCGCGGGTACAACATGACTGAAATGAAATATAAACCAAGTGATACAGTCATAAGGAGGAGGCGTAGACAATCTTTAAAAATCCAAAAGAACATAGATGATGACGTGCTTATGGCTTCAGCGATCGGTGATGTAACATGGCTTCAACAAAGCCTCTATGATACGCGTAAAGCATATTCTGTTTCCATCGAACACGTAAGTGACATTCTCGAATTCTTTAATCTCTTTAAATAACTTGTAAACCAGTGTTCGATTGTTTAGTTCTATTCACGCCAGATAGTTAGAGTGTGAACAGTTAGCAGCGAAAGAGGCGCAGGTCAAATGCTGTAATACTTTGACAGAAAGTTGCGGTAATTATTACGGAGCAAACGTGACAGACGTGCGAATTGTTTCGCTGTCTCGTGTAACGCGACGAAGCGTGTTTCCATTTACTTTTTGTGAGCATTTCAATAGAAGTCCGACTTCAGTTCCACAGCCGCATCATTTCTGTACTTGCGAATTACTTTGAAATATTAAGGTGGGTTTACCGCAAGGAGCAGCCATTTTGTTTGTTTGACGTTCACGTCCTCAAAATTAACGGTTTAGATAATATTCCCTCCTTTGAATATTAGAAATCGGATTTACTTTAAATGTAGCTTTCTTCATCAGTTTAATCAGGTAGTACTCCTAAATTGATTGGGAAAGCTGAAATAAAAACCAAATGAAATTTTGATGGGGACTCAGAACAACCTTAGTTGAATTTTATTCTCTCATCCAGGGAGATTAGGAATCCAATTGTACCCCTTTCACGCCATGAGACCTCTATGAAAACTCTAACATTTACCGATGTACATGTATTTCTTTGAGTATCGAAGCAAATTTGTCGCAAATGGATCCACAAATTACGATAAGCCTAAGCCACTGGAAGCTCATTCAACAACCGGTCTCAAACACTCACAGCTTTTATTGCGCTGACTAATTGAGTATTGAGCGTTCTCTGGTGAACATGAAGGCAGCTCTGTCACATAAAAGCCCTGCTAAAATAATATTGTTGTGAAAATACCTTTGCAGAGAACAATGTCTTTTTTAGCTTAACAGTGCAAGAAACAGATTTTGTGGAAATACATTTTGCTGCTCGAAAACAGGCAAAAATGTTGTTGTCTTGGATCAAAACATTTAATTTTCCCACCTGAAGACAAATTTTGCTTCCAAACCAGTTGCTTCTCAGTAACTAATCTGGAAAGCAAAATATTTTGTTTTCATCCCTATAACTGAGCTATCCTGATAACATTCAAGCTTACAGTGTTTCCTCATCGTTGTTTCCTGTTTCCAATGTATTATTTCATAACCAAGGGAAAAGTGTGTGTCACAATTATAAACCTCATAATGGCCTACTGTAGTTCACCATAGAGTCTCTTTGGTTACTTGAAATCCAGAGATCTAATGTTGATTCCTCACAAGGATTCTTCATGCTTGTGACAAGAGGAAAAAGTGCATCCCTCTTTAATGCCTCCTACTAGCCACCAGCCTAAAACTTCCTCAAAACTGATGGCTTCTTACATGTATATGGATGTATTTTGATTAATGAATACATGAATGCCTGGAACCCCCAGTGCTTGAAACCAGCAAACTCTAACAAAGTAAAATAAGTAAACTCTAAGAAAGTGAAAATATATTAATTTTACCTTAATTTATTTTAGGGTCTTGCTCCTATTCACCTTGCCGCACAGAACGGACAGCTTGAATGCCTTAAAGTGATGATAGAAAGATATAAAGTAGATGTTAATTTTCAAAGTGCATCTGGATGGACACCCCTTCATTTAGCAATTAACAAGTCTACCAAGAAAAGAGGATTGAGATGTGTACAATATCTTTTAGGGAAAGGTGCAGATCCATCAAGGTTAGTGTAGGATGAGTGTTTTTTCATTGTAATCGAACTGAATGGAGTGCAGTTTGGTCTGAAATCATATGCGATTTCAAAATCAAGAGAGTGCATATGGAAAGTTTAATTCCAAATATGATTTCAGACCAAAACTACACGACACAAAGTTCAGTTACTGAGTACCTCTTTATTACATCTGTTTTGAAATCACAAATTCATTGGCTCAATGAGTTTTTTTTGTCTGATCACTTAATATTTCATTGATCCATTGTATTGATCTTGTTTGAAAAAAGTTGCAAAAGTTGTGTCTCATTTTCCTGAAATTTGATTGATTTCTGTAAACTGAAGCCTTGAAATTTGACTGATTGTTGTGTTTTAGCAAAGCTGTCTCATTGGCCTGGGAAAAAGATGTGATTTAGAGCATAAATTGGTGCAATTTGAGTGTAAATTGCACAGGTGAGAGGCTATCAGATTGCAGAGATCAAAAGTGATTCCAAAATGGATGTAATTAAGTGTTAAACCAGGGATTTCAATGAATCAGCTTACCTGCAGTCTACTGCTGCATATGAGACTTTTTTCCACCATCTGTTTAACCTGAAGGCAGACTCTTGTGTTTGGGTATCACCTTACCAGATCCAACCTCCAACCCAGTCCCCCTCCCTTTTCCTGCCTTTCCTCAATTTGGAATTGAGGAGATGGTTAAATGTTTTCTTGCAAACTTACCTTGTAATATGATTGAAATGACTTTTTTAAGACCCTTCTTTTAATTAATGATCAGAATTTAATTTTGATTTCGAGGAAAAATGATAACCATACTTTTCCTTTGAAATCAAGACTTGGTTGAACAAAAGTTCTCAGGATTAACACATAAGATGTATTTA